GATACTATTTAACAAACGCCCTAATTTATTATACTTCCGTGTTTTTCGATCCATGCCCTATACATGGATTAAGAAAGATCAGCGTGATAAATTCCAATCTCGCACAAAGACCGGCTTTTTTGTCGGATACGATCACAAGAGTAAAGGTTTTTGAATCTGGCTTCGGGCCGATCACAAACTTATGATATCCTGTAACGTGCGCTTTGACAAAACGAGCATTCTAAATGGAGAATTAATGACAAACTGAAACCAACTTCAGAGCCAAGATAGCGACAACGTAATTGGCAGGGCCGCTGCAGCCACACCAATACAAATCAAAGCCAAACACTACACTTCGTCACCTGCACCTAACCACAGCAGCAACACAAACAGAGATTTGGACGTCAAGGAACCAAATAACATTGTCGATCAGATTCCCGCGACAACCTTTCGTGACAACGCCTTTGGATCTTTGGCCATGCCAGCATGTACATCAAATGCAATAGACTCATCATCCGAACACAATATCATACGTCGACATTCCACCCTGACTAAAGAATCCTCCTCCAGATTAAAGAATAGTATCATGCTCTCGTGCGACAGCAATCAGAAACTACCAAAATTATTGGCACCATCTCCATTTGATTCAGACACACCCCATCTATATATAGAGTACGATTGCTTCTTTGGAATTACTAAAGAATCTTCAGATCGAATACACTTCAAAGAAGTCGACGTTGACCTTAACTGGAAGGAGGCGATCGAACAGGAGCGCAACTCTATCATCCGAAATAACACTTGGAAAATCTGCAACCTCCCACCAGGTGCATCAATTGTCACAGCAATATAGACCTTTAAGGCCAAAAGTGGAGCCAATGGAAAACCTACCAAACGAAAGGCGCGGCTAGTTGCATGCGACTTCCAACATATCTATGGAATGGGTTACGATGAAGTCTTCGCTCTGGTTGCGAAGTGAAAAGTAGTGCGCTCCATCGTAGCCCTCGTAGCCAGTAACATATCCATCTCGATGTGAGATTGGCATTTTTAAATGGTGATCTAATAGAAACGGTATGTATGCTCATCCTTGACGGGTTGCGCAACGCCACCAATTCCACCAAGGTAAGTCGATTACACAAGTCACTCTACAGCTTAAAGCAGACACCGCGCGCATGGTTCGAGAAGATAAATGATTTTCTAGACACATACAATTTCGGTAGAACCAAAGCAGATTATAGTCTTTATTTACTCCGAGACAACAAGGGCATCACCATCCTAATATTGTACGTTAACGATCTCTTGATCACCGGTTCCAGCAACAATAAAATCACTTGGATTAAGAACCAGCTTGTGAGGTGTTTGAAATGTCCAATCTCGGCCACATAAATTTCTACTTGGGTATAGAATTTATTTGCAGCCCTGATGGAATCCTACACTCACAGAGAGCCTGCGCCACTTAGATATTAAAAGAATTCGGCATGGAAGTTTGCACTCCATCCTCCACACCCATGACAGAAGGGTTCAATCTAGATAGAGAGGATGATTCACCACAAGTTGATGCAAAGCGCTTCCAAAAGCTCGTGGGGATGTTCATACACTTGGTAAACACAAAACCAAAAATCTCTTTCACCACGGGAGTACTCATCAGATTCATGCATGATCATCGAGTTTCGCATCGACAAGCTGCAAACCAAGTCCTCTGATACATAAAAGATACACTAGAACTTGGAATTTTCTATGAACAACGCCACAACTCAACAATTCTAGGTTTTACAAATTCTGACTGGGCGAACTGTAAGGTTGACAAAAAATCAATCACTGGCTGGGTATTCAAATCAGCAGGGGGGCGGATCTCGTGGGCATCTAAAAAGCAACACAACGTCACAATATCATTAACAAATGCTGAGGTAAGAGCATTAGCAGAAGGAATTTGTTAAGCCATCTAGCTTCAAACTCTAGCATCTAGAATTCATGGAACGAATCAGGAACCCATCTCCATCTTCTGCAACAATTGAAGCACACTCAAATCTGCCCGCAATCCGGTGTGTCACAACAAATCCAAACACATGGAGATGTGGTTACATTATATATGGGAAATTGTACTCACTGGAATAGTAGACATCTTCTACATATCAATCCATGAGCAGATTGCAGATATCTTTACCAAAGCCACAGGAAGGAATAGATTTGTGAAACTTAGAAGTGAAATGGGAATGAGAAACTTAACTTTATCATCAAAATCCTAAATAGAACACAACCTATCAGAAACCCTAGAAAAACTAGTTTCCAATTACAAGACGTTTCGCTTCCTCCATTGTTCTAAAACTCTTGTAGATTGCACCTCAAAATCTAGTCACCTGCCTCTTGCAATCCGACCACCTGTAGTACACTCCAAGACAACATCCATGGCAAACAGCGTAGAAACGTGATCAACAACCAGGAGCATCAGGCTCGTCTCTCAAAGAAACTGACTCCTCAGATCAAATCACATCGAAACCCTCACTGTTTACTGGAAGCCACAACAAAAAAAGGAGATTATCTGGACACCAGCCAAAAATTTGATGAAGTGCCGCCAAAAGAAACCAGAAGCTTAATACAAGCATCTGAATTTGCAAAGATATTGACTGATGCTTACAATCTCTTCCAATTAAGGTAAAACACTTAAAATGTCTTGCACTTTCTCATTCTAAAACCACAAAGATAGAAACACAAGCAAAAAAGCCTAAGCATCGCAACAACTAAAATCCACTTGACTACCCATTTTCCTTCAACTTATGAAACTTGTAACACCCCGATCGCGCTGTCGCATTGCAATAAAACTTATCCAAGACTCTAAGTGCGGGGGGTGTTGGAGACATCCACTTCGAGTCTCCTAGACTCTGTCAAGATAGGAACGTAGACGAATAGCATCCATCCACTACTCAAAGCTTGTAAATGTACCAGTCCCTTACCCTTCAATAAAACAGTGTTGCCATTTCTTTAGTATCGTTGCATATGCATGTATTAGGATCAGTGAGTAACGTTCAGGACCCATATTAGTGTCGCAGTTTATTCTCACATCAGACAGACGCAACTGGGTAAATGCAGATGCCAGCATTGGTGAAGAGGATTGGGTTGTAGTATCACTGGTGATGTGCAACGAATCAGCATTGTCCGATTGTAAATTTCATTGTGCGAATTTCATCACTTTGTTATCCTTCATCGACAAGTTGCACCCCAAAATTCTTGTAAGATGATGTGGAGCGAGTCACAATGTCTTCGGATGCAAATGACAGTCTTTCAGAATTAGCGTGTGAGCAGTTTACAAGTGAAGTTAGTGTGTCGATTAGTTAACCATGAGAGAGTACCTTGTCTTGCTCTTGCTAAGTGCCATGTGTTTGACCATGGAGGATGCAGGATCAGTCCTACCACAGCGCTGCCAATTCTGAATCTGATGTTTGCATTGTGTATCCGTTGGATGACAGTATCAATCTCGTCGTTATACGTCATTCGAAAACTACACGCCATCGAATTTACAAAACATCGGCATTTTAGGATGGGTGCTTTAATATGCGACAGTGGCAGTTATCGTCTTTGGAGTCATTAGTTTTTCTATCCAATCGGGCAACATCTATCTACCCTTGGTCGCGATGGTACATGAAGTAAGTTCCTTGCAGCATTGTTTTGGATCCAGCTGACGTATCTTTGTCTTTTCATCCTCACCACCTCCATTGCCGGGACTTTTTTTTATTTCATAAAATTATAATTTTACCTCTGTCAGGCCGTCATAGATAGCACAAATGAGAGTATCCTGTTTGTTTCACAATTCTTGTTGAATCTAGTCATACTAATTGTAGAACTTGGTTGTGTATGTCCATGTTCTTGGGCAGCTTTTGCTTATTGTTGGACGAAGAATGTGTGCGTGTCGCAAATTGAAAGAAAAGCAGGGTTTTAATCCCATCTTGCCTACGACATTTCTACACAACACTTTGGCATCTACTGGGATTTTCTGAACCACAACTCTTTTGATTTTCTGTCTTTGGATCATCTCTCCTCTGGGACCTTTGCTGGGCCACTCACTTGTCAAGATTCTGAAACACTATTTTGTAATGTAACGCACTCTTGGTAGCTGCAGAGTCAAGTGCATTCATCACGCAACAATATCAACAAACCTCCAGCTTCTGTAGCAGTGTCTTCAACATTCGATTCCCTATAATTCCTGAAATCTCATTGAATCGCCCGCTGTTGTCAACATCCAAGAATCACTTACACTCCAAAAAAGAATCCAGAAGTTCGAAAAATTAAAACAGACAGAAAGGTCTGTTGGCACCCTTTTGCGTGATACCTTGATGCTGCTAGGAAGATTCCTTTGAATAGGCGATGCGCGTTAATCGCAACAACAAATGTAGGCCTCTCCTGAACACTACTTTAAGACGATTACATGTGATGAATGTCCTGAAGAATGCGGATCCAATCACAATGCAGTGAGCACCCATCGTTCACAATACTTTTAGATCATTGTCAGTCTTCTGGACACTTCGCAAATTTCGAATTCTGATTGGACATCTCCACCAAACACACAACACACACTGCTACTACTATTGCGAAGGGTTCTGAAGCAGAAGAACCTCTGAAAACGAAACCAGAAGAGGGAGGGAATCATTCAACCCAACGTGAAATCTTCCCATTCACAAAAAATTACGAGTATTGTGACACCTGGGGGTTATTAAGAGCCAAGCGCAGGAGGGCAATCCGGCTGCCCTCAGCTGGGTTGGGTTCGGGCAGCGCACAACCGGATAAGCCCGTACCGGGCAGGTCCCCTGGTAAGTGTCATCGGCAAGGAATCTCTCATCACCACTACGTCGAGGAGGCATTCTCTTTCTCTCGTCCCCTCGGAGCTCTCACCCTGCGAGGAGCCCCTTGAATTGCCTGCCATCCCGTGCTTCACCGTGCCGACCAAGCCCTCCCCTCATCTCATACTCTGGATGGTAAGCTCCAGGAGCATTGAATCTCATTTCAATCACTTGCATCCCCCCCCCCCCCCGCCCTTTGGAGACTCTCTTCTGTGAGGTTACGAGGTCTCTTGGAAGGGGGTACCGTTTCGGAGTATCCTCTCGCCGCAGTTATTTTCTTTCGGTAGATTTTGTTTGCGACTGTCTAGTGTTGTTCACTTGAGAAGATTGTTCGAATGATTGTGTGTATGGAAGAGGTTGTTTGGGGGTTTTGTGTCGAGGGATTTGAAGGGTTTAGTGTGGGTCGACATTCCATTTTTGGATGAGGGTAATAGTGTGGTTTAAACTTTGCTGTGGATATTTTTGGGTGTTGTCAGTGTGGGTGGTTTGGAACCCTTAGGGTGCAGTTTTAGGGTGGGGTTTTGGAGGGTTTAGAAGGTGATAAGGCCCTTAGAGTGCGCACAATTTGGTTGAACGAACGTGATGTCATTTGGGTTTGTGTGAGATTTCTTGTTTTCTTTTGGTTTCATTCCCCGTAGAGATGGGTCTCTGTTGGGGATCTGAGGGAGCGTATAGGGTTTGTTGTGAGTTCGTAGCTGCTTCACATGCTCAATTCTCTATTTAGGTTTATTTTGAAGGTAATAACTATCGTTTGCTTGTATGGTTTTCAGAGTTGTTGGCGAGCTTGGCTAAGAACTTGGATAATGCTGCAATGTGTGTTACAGAATGAAGGATTGGTGTTTACTTGCTTATTAAAATAAAATTACTTCTCAGTTGGGTCATAATGATTTTCTGTGTTGCTTTACTTATTGAGAAGCAGCAGATTGGGTGGTGATTGTAGGGGGTGAGCAGTTAGAAGAAGAGAAGCATTTTAATACCTATATGTGGGTGATGGTTTGTGCTGCCTCGGGAATGACACACTGACACCACGGTGGCAAGTTGAGGTTTTGGTGAAGCTCTTGAAATCATGGAGACTCTTCGCAATGTGAGCAGCACGGAGAAGAGTAAGGAGAGCTCTGAGGCTGTGAGAGGTGCTAGTGAAACCTCTTCCATTCCTGAACGGAATAGTGGTGGTGGACCTGATGTTGAGGAAAGTGGAGGGAGGATCAATTCTTACGCGGGGCCTAGTCCTCCTAGAGCACCCGTCACTGATGACACGGAAGATGAAGTAGAGGAAGTTGATGAAACCGAAGATGATGACAACGACGATAGTGCTGTTGAGAATACCTCTAGCCTTGTGGATTCTGCGGCCAGCCGGCCTTTGGGTTCTTATGCAGATGCTCTGACGTCGATGCCTGTCGCCAAGGTAACTACCGAGGATGAAGAGCAAGACGATGACGACGACGATGCCGATAAAGCTGATGGTAAATGGAATTGCGCATTTTATTGCTTGTTTTTCCTTCTGCAGCATTTGTAGACATTGTGGTAAGAGGTAGGAACTATTTTGTGCTGCTGGCTGATACTTCGTCGTTTTGAAAACGTGTTAGAAGAGGAAGTCGACGATGAAGAATATGAAGAAGCAGATGACCAAGCTTCGGTTGAGGATTTGTACGGGAACTCCTCCGCATTGAGTAGAGGCAGTGAAGGTAGCTTGCCACGGAGTATACCACGAATCATCGCGCGGGAGTCTGGTGATGATATTTCTGAAGAACCTTCAGAGGACGAATATAACGATATTTCAGAGGAGGAATATAATGAAGAAGCTGTGGAGGAAGCTGTAGAGCCTGAAGAGAAAGAGCAGGTTACCATGGAGGTAGAAGAGAAAGAACAATTCGAGTCTCCAGTTGCTGCGGAGGAGTCCACCGTGAAAGAGTTGAATGCCACACCTGCAGTAGTGCCCCCTGCAGATGCTGATGTTGGCGATGTCTCGAGGACAGATAACTCGAATGCAGAGGAGAGTCCTATGAATGCAGATGCTGATGTTGGTGATGTTTTGAAGAAAGAGAACTCGAATGCAGAGGAGAGCCCTATGAATTCAGATGCGTGTCGTGAAGAAGACATTGTTGCGGAGAAAGTCGAGAAAGAGTTGTCTCAAGCAGTAATGACTGAGGATTCGCAGGAAGTAGGATCTGCACAGTCGCAGGAGGAAGTTACCGAACTGATGCAGGCAGTGTCATCTCTTGCCGCTGAATCCGAATCTACTGACCAGGGAGTGAAGCAAGAAGTCGCCCCTGAGGTTGTTCCTCTTGCAACTTCAGAAATAAAGCAGGGTGAGTTGGAGGAGATTGAGCAAGCAACCACCCTACCGAAGACCGACGTGGAGACCAGAGGATGCTCATTGGATTTAGCCGAGGAGTTGCAGAAGCTATCTGTGTCACGTTCACTGAGCAACGATGTTTTGAAATCCGATGAAGCAGAGCGTGCAGCGATCATTGAGAATGCACCAGCTGAAAGTACCATTGACGAATCTGTTGTTAATGTTGAAACTGTAACTGAGTCGGGGTACATTGTTAAGAGGGCCGCTTCAAACGATCTCATGGCTGAGTTGGAAAAGCTGGCTGCTGCTCGATTGGAGAAGGAAGCAAGTAACAATACTGTAAATCCTGTCAGAGAAGTAAGTGAGGATGATGTCAAGGATGTCTCGGGAGAGACCACCGTTGTAACTACTAGCATATCGGAGGGAGCTAATGAGTCGTTGTCTAAGAAGGAAGACGAACCCGCTTTGATAGGATCCAATGTGCCCGAGGAACTTGAAGGGAATTCTCTTGAAGTTCAGTCGGCGATTACTACAGACCTAGAGAAAGTTAGCTCTACTCCCACACCTAGTAACGCCGAAAAAGAATCTCCTGAAGCGACTGAGGTACGAATTGTGGAAGAAGGCAAGTTGGAAAAAGCAGATCCTTCAGTTGTGAATGAAGAATTGTCGAAGGAAATCCTGGAAGACCCAGAAGTGGTACCTAGTCCAGCGAAGATGTATACTGCCTTAAAAGCCGTCGACGGTGATATGCCAGTTTTGAAGTCAGAGAATGGAAATGTAGCTGGGGATGAAAATGTAGAATCAGAATCACGGGTTCTTCCAGCGGTTGATTTCGCAGGCAAGGATGGTGACACGGACGCTAATACAGCGGACGAGGATAATGAGAATGATGAAGATGATGTAGATGAAGATGAAGACGAAGACGATGCAGATATGGATACAGCAAAGGCGCTAGCAGAGTTGGCTATGACAGCTGGAAAATCTGGTAATCCCGCTTTTGTAGATTGCTTATCTCAAATTTTTCTTACACTTATTGTTCTTAAGTCACATGTCCTTGCTTTGTCTTCTATCTTGCAACCTTCAGCGGATTGCTATGCGGAATATCCCAGCAACGTGTTATGATACAGTTGTCCTTGAGATGGCACGCTTGAAATTTCATGTTTTACCCGCTTGTCTTGTTCGGTTGTTTTCAGCACTGTAATGTACATGTTGACAGATTTCAGCACTTTGGATGATTTTCTGCTGTTGACAAGTCATCATCGGACTCCTGGCCCGTGTTTTCAAAGCATTTTGTCTTTGAGTTTCTCTTAGTGTTACTTTCTGTTTTGGGTACTTGTGAGGAACCCTTTGTCTTGCTTTTATGTAATAAGGAATTGTTTGCGTTGATCTTTTTTCAGGCGATGTTTCGGAGAGCGGCACCAAGCCATCCATGGGTGCAGCGGGACCCTCTTTGCCTTCTTTACCTCAACGGCCAGCTGTTAGAAAACCAATTGCTGCAACAGCATCGGACTCGCCTGGCAGGAACACTCAGCGTCCTAACGGTGCCCTATCAACTCAAATTACAAGCACCACTGATGAGAGCGCTAGTAGCGACGCAGCAGAAGGCGATGAAACTAGAGAGAAACTTCAGAACATCCGAGTGAAGTTCTTGAGGCTTGCTCACCGATTGGGACAATCCCCGCAAAATGTGGTTGTAGCCCAGGTGCTGTACCGTTTAGGCTTGGCCGAGTCATTGAGAGGCGGCAGCGCTCCCAACCGCTCGGGAGCATTCAGTTTCGACCGCGCTAATGCCCTAGCCGAAGAGCAGGAAGCAGCCAACCAGGAAGAGGAGCTTGATTTTGCATGCACAATTTTGGTTCTAGGAAAGACTGGGGTTGGAAAGAGTTCGACTATCAATTCAATATTTGACGAGCGCAAGTCTGTGACAAGTGCCTTTAAACCATCCACCAACAAAGTACAGGAGGTCATCGGCACGGTACACGGCATTAAGGTATTGGTCTGGACAGGATTGACATTCAGTGTAATATCCCTATAAATTTTTGAATTTGGATGATGTTATGGACGTTGGGTTAATGCAGAAGCGTAATCTCGACCACTTCTTCTTCTACTTCTTTTCCTGTATATATATAATAATAATAATATATTAATTTATTAATTTTATACTGGAAAGGGATACTCATGTGTTACTTTTCGATGTTCTTTTGCAGGTAAGGGTGATAGACACACCCGGACTGCTCCCTTCTGTGGCAGATCAACAGCACAACGAGCGTATCATGGGGCAAGTCAAGAAGTACATCAAGAAGGCGTCTCCAGACATAGTTTTGTACTTTGATCGTTTGGATATGCAGAGCCGTGACTTCGGAGATCTGCCTTTGCTGCGGACCATCACTGACCTATTTGGAGCCGCGGTTTGGTTTAATGCCATTGTGGTGTTGACCCACGCCTCATCCGCCCCTCCAGATGGGCCCAATGGAGTTCCTCTGAGTTACGAGATGTTTGTAGCACAGAGGTCTCACGTAGTGCAGCAGACAATTCGACAAGCAGCTGGAGACATGAGACTGATGAACCCCGTGTCTCTAGTAGAAAATCATCCTGCTTGCAGAACCAACCGCACTGGTCAGAGGGTTCTGCCTAATGGACAGATTTGGAAGCCACAATTGCTGTTGCTGTGCTTCGCCTCGAAGATATTGGCAGAAGCAAACTCATTGTTAAAGCTCCAGGAGACAACAGCTCCGGGTAGACCGTTTGGGCAGCGGTCCCGGGTGCCACCTCTGCCATTTTTGCTTTCCTCTTTGCTTCAATCTCGAGCACAGTTGAAGTTGCCAGACGAACAAGCTGGAGAATCAGACGAGTCCGATGACGATGAGGAAGAAGAGGACTCGGATGCTGATGATTATGATGAACTCCCTCCTTTCAGGTGCATTTTGGTTTATCGTCGTTTGCAAGAATATAAACATGCGTCTAAATTTTCATGGTTATTCAGCTCTTTGATGTATCTACTTTTTTATCTTCATTTCTTGAACTAGTTCTCGTTGGCCTGATGCCCGTCCTCAACTATCCTTTATTTTCCGATTGTTAGTCTAATGGTTCCCAACCTCCCAAAATTTCTAGCTTAAATGGTATTTCATTCCTGTACTTATGACGCATTTCAATATTGCAGGCCACTCTCCAAGGAAGAGTTGGAGGATCTTACCAAAGAGCAAAGGGAAGATTACATGGAGGAGTTGGCTGACCGAGAAAGGATGTTCCAAAAGAAGCAGTATAGGGAGGAAATTCGCAGAAGGAAGGAAGCCAAAAAACGTCAGGCACAGATGTCTAAGGAAGAGCTGGCTGAGGCTGAGGAAGCAGAAGATGAGGCAGGGAATGCCGCTGCAGTGCCTGTTCCGATGCCAGACATGGCGTTGCCTCCTTCATTTGACTCTGACAATCCCACACATAGGTAACTTCACAGCACCGCACATGGCTCAAGCTGATCATTTTCAATCGGAAAGTTGGAAAACGATCCCCTGACTCAAACTTGATATCGTTTTGATCCCTTTGGAGTTACCCGTGTGCAGGTATCGTTACCTGGAGACTGCGAACCAGTGGCTAGTACGTCCGGTATTGGAGACCCATGGGTGGGACCACGATGCTGGGTACGACGGTTTCAACGTGGAGAAAATGTTCGTGGTGAAGGAGAAGATTCCTGCTTCCGTGTCGGGCCAGGTGACGAAAGACAAGAAAGAAGCCCAGGTGAACTTCGAAGCAGCGGCTTCGTTGAGGCACGGAGAGGGGAAGGTGACTCTGACTGGGTTCGACGTTCAGACGATCGGAAAGGACTTGGCGTACACGGTGCGGGCAGAGACGCGGTTCAACAATTTCAAGAGGAACAAGACGACGGCGGGGGTGACTGCGACGTACCTGAACGACACGATCGCGGCGGGAGTGAAGCTGGAGGACAGGGTATTGATAGGGAAGAGGGTGAAGTTGGTGGTGAACGGAGGGGTGCTGACAGGAAAGGGCGACAAAGCATACGGTGGAAGCCTGGAGGCGACGTTGAGAGGGAAGGAGTATCCTTTGAGTCGGACGCTGTCGACGCTGGGGTTGTCAGTGATGGACTGGCACGGCGACCTGGCGATCGGGGGGAACCTGCAGTCGCAGTTCATGGTGGGGAAGACGATGATGGTGGGAAGGGCGAACTTGAACAATAGGGGGTCGGGTCAAGTGAGCATACGGGCGAGCAGCTCGGAGCAGCTGCAGATGGTGTTGATTGGGATTGTTCCGATATTGAGGTCTCTAATCAACTGCCGTTTCGGCTTCGGTGGTCAGTCCCAACAATAAATTTCGTAGATAGCTACAGGATAGTTTTGGCCCCCAGTTGGCCTCCTCCTTACAGCTAGCTCTGTACATGTGTGCTTTGGATGCTCAGCAAAATCTTGTAGAAGATTCATGTTTTGGTGCGGAGTAGAATTGCTTGATGTACAGGCGCTATGATGACGACAGTTATGCCAAGTCAGTTGCTTGTATCGGCCAAGAATTCCGTTCTCTTGTCCGTCAATTGGAGAGTTTTAGTGCGAGTTTTGTTAGGGCTGTAGTTGCAGTTTGGAGACCTTATGATTTTGCCCCTCGGTCGCCAACTTTTAGTGTGGATTTTAGTTATCTGCACGTATGTGCTCTGTATTGTAGTAGACTGGAGTTGAGTAGGGCATGGGGTCGCAGAAAAGGAGGGAATTATCTGTGGGTATGAGATCTTGTAGCGAGTCTGGGCTGTTACTGATATCTTATCACTGACACAGACCGTCAGCTGAATAGGCATTTCTGTTTGGACTGAAGATGAGCTTCGTAATGTTGTAGTCAATGCAACCTATTTGAAGATGTCCTGCATTTCGAGGTTACTCCTCTCATTGCACACATCATTGAGTTTATTTCCTTGAATTTCTTTGAGCTGTTTTTTCAGCAAAGCTCCTACTCGTGTCTCATCAGTCGGAATCCTAGCACGATCTGAATTCTCAATGAACTCTTGAATTATGTTTGTGTAAATTGTAATCAGGTCTTTGTGTCGTGGTCCCTTAGTTGACCTCTATATCAGAAGGTTGGCCAACCACTTAGAAGTCGTTGCAAAAGCTGAACCCGCTGGCCATCTCAGTCACCGTCTGCTTGAGGCCGTTATCAATTCGGAACACAAGCGGAGTGTGGGATCAATCGTTGAGCGAGTCTGCGCGTGGATGGATAGAATGGAGGCTGAGGAGAACCCTCCAGCTGTCTCTTGCATGATCATGTCTCTTAAGAATCCTTTTTGGATCGTGGAACATAACATTTCTTCAAAACCGCAGAACTTCGTTACAAGAAGCCAATCGGTGGAATATACACAGCGAGAAACTGTTCGTGTGCATCACGGTAAACGACCAAACCGCGATTTCCAGAGCTCAGAGCCTCTTGGCTCATCCACCCGTCACTTTGCCACTCTTTCCTTAACTGGCCAGTCTTCTGAACTTGCTTGTCCGCCTGGTTGCTTTGATTGCTCTGCTTGCTCCTTCATTCCGAAACAAGTTTGCGAGTCTCTTTGAACGGACACTGTCCATAAAACATTGCCCGACACTGAGTTATTGTCTGCGTGTGTATCCACCACTGGAAGAGCTAGAAAATGGATTGGTAACCACGTTCAGTTCTACTGTTTCATCTTTTTGGTGTATTTTGACATGTTTGCTCTATTGAGAAGCTTCTCTGAAGAATGTTACATAGTGGAGGAGGTATTTGAATTCTGGGTTTGGATTCTGATGTTTTTATCTGGAGAATGAGTCAAGTCCTGAGGGTTTCGTGTTCGCTGGGCGGTATAGAATTCGAGTGAGCGGTTTTTTTTCGGTAGTTTTTGGACTGTGAATGGCATTGTTGTGTTTACAGATTAATTTCGGTAGTGTTTTTCGCGGTTTGAGTGGTTTGGGATCGTCGAGTTAGCTTCTAGGGCGGGGTTTTGGAGGGGCAACGGGGTCTTATCCTGTGCGGGGAAGGTTGTCGTCGTGCCTTGCTTTTAGCACAGTTTCCCGTTCCAGCGGTGATTGGATTAGCATGTTTCACAGAGAATTGTATTTTATTCCGTTCTGTTCCGAGTGATGAAGCGCTTGGTTGGGTGGAGGTTATTTGTGCTTTGTCTCGCAGGAAGAGTAGGTTTAATCGTTTCAATGCTGTCATCAGGACTATTTTTAGAGTTCTGATGAAGGAATTTTGTAACGCAGAGCATGAGCAGGTGAGAAGAATCACTTTCTGGGAGGACGTTGGTGCTGTTGCCTTGAGACGCTGGTGAATTGAAACACTTCAGTATAATTAGGGGAACGTTTCGAGCAGGCATGGCGAACATCCCTTCGCTTACCTCCAGGAAAAATACGAACATCTTCAAGAGCAAGGAGGCGGTGAGAATTCTAAACTCGAGATCAACATTCTGGTTGCCTGTGGACAGACGTAGTTATCTGTGACGGTGGAAGAGGGGATTATGAATGTCATCGTTTCTGGGTTTTTGTCAAGGTCAAATCGTCAGATATGAAGTTATAATCGTTCCTGAGACTTCAATCGCCGAGTCTGTTGACATTTCTAGGTTTATGTGAGGGTTACAATCGCCAGGGATGGTACGGTTTTAAAACAAAATTTGGTTTTAGCTACAGAATTTATTGTTGCTCAGTATTGGCATAGGTTTTTAATTTTCCAGTTTTTCCACGAATTTTTTACGATTTTCTTGATTTTTGCCGATGTGCGTTCATGACAGGAAATTGATTGCTGTGAATGAGACATTGAGGAAGAGTAGTTCAGAAAACATTGGCAGTTATGGACGCCCTTCGCAAGCTGGGTAGTTTGGGCAGGAGACGGGATGAGGTAGATACGGCGAGCAGCCCTCTGAAGAACGAAGCTTCAGCAGCAGAAATTCCCAGGGATCCTGTGCAAATTAGCGGCAAAGATGAGGCATCACCTTCGGGCCTTACACCCATCAGGGTGCGGGTACCAGAGGATGTGAGATCGGAAAGTGAAGTCAAACGAGACGGCGATGAAGAAAGCGTTGGCAGTGGAGAGAGTTTCGACAGTGCCTTGGAGAGGATGGAAGCTTCTTCTATCACAAGTTTTGAGCCTCCTAGTCCGATGGAGTCTATCGATGGGCGGTTCCAGTTTGAAGATGGGGTAAGGGAGGATTTAGCAGAAAGTGGACTAGACGGAAATTTTTCTTATGACGACGACGACGACGATGAAGAAGAAGAAGAAGACGGGAGTGAGGAAGGGGAGTCCACTAGTAGCAGTATCATCAACTCGGAGTATTCGTCTAGCGCCAGCAATACGGAGGATGAAATGGATATCTCGGGGTATGGAGCTTCCTCAGCGCGAACCATGCTTGTGTCCAATGATGCAAGTAAATCTGATGAGGAAGCAATTGATGGTAAACTTTATAAATCTTTTACATGTGTTTTGATGTTAAATTTCTTTGTTGTATGAATCGTGTCTGTATGAATCTAAAACGGGGTCGAATATAAAGGGTCGCTTGCTTGGCATTTGTAACCCTGGCAATAACTTGGACCAATTAGAGTCACAAACTGAAAGGCTTCGGTGTGATCGGCTTGTGGGAGTTCGACTTGCTCTAGATGGTTAGCAGAAGAAGAGGCCGGTGTTGAAGAGAGGTTTGAGGAGGCATATGACGGAGGAATGAACTCAGCCTGAGAAGAGCTAGAAACTGTCCCCATTGGAAGAAGAACTACTAGAGAGTCCAGAGAGGAGTCAAAGGCTAGGGTTTCGTGGAGGGATTTAACGAGGGATGACGAAGTATTTTTTGTTGAAACCCCTTGACAGAACCGAAGTACAAGTTAAGGAACGTCGTAACTGGAGAGGAGAATATGAGTGGTGGTCTTTCAGTTGAGAACGAAGCAAGAGGGGTTGCTCTTTCGTCTTGGAAGTCGGAATTGGAAGACTTCTACGAAGCTTCACTGGAGGATAACGATGTTCAAGAGGAATTGGCAGAGAAGATAATTAAGGTAGCCAGTGAACAGAATGACGAAGAAGATGAAGAAGTACATTTTCCTGTCATCGCGAACGAATTGCCCGGGAGGATTACACGGAATCGGACAATGATCGATAGCCCAGCTCATCTTTACAGTGCCGTGAAAGCAGTTGATTCAACACTTCCTGCGTTGAAGTCAGAGAGTACGAAATCAATTACACAGGGTTTTGTTGAGGCTGAGGAAGCTGAATCGGACGTTTTCACAGAGGGTGAAGATGGATATGATGACGAAGATGAAGATGGCGATATACAAATGGATGTTTCGCAGGCTACTGAAAAATCTGGTAGGTTCTGGTCGCGACCTATACAGCTGTCTTCATGTAATGCAGATTTTTATGTTTTTCAAGTGTTTTGACATATTCCAAGATGTAGTCTGGAGAAAAACAATCCCATTTTCAATTGCAGAAGCCTTGAATGAAAGTCTAGAAGAAAAGTAATGCAACTGTTTATCAATTCTTTGCCATTTCATTAGACATATAATGTGGCTGAGGTATGCCTCTTCGCTGTAGGAACTCCGGATGAGAGCGAAAGCAATCCATCAATGGGTGCAGGTGGACCTCGTTTGCCGTCTTTACCCCAACGATCATCTGCTAGAAGATCTGCTGCCACAACAGCAACGGGTGTGCCACGTCCTAATACTGCCTCGTCAACCCAATCAGCAGCCACCAGTGACGCGAGCATAAGCAGTGAATCTAGCGAAGCGAATGAAATCCGTGAGAAACTCCAGAATATCAGAATAAAGTTCTTGAGACTGGCTCGCCGCTTGAATCAATCTCCGCAGAACGTGGTTGTAGCACAGGTGTTGTATCGTCTAGGCTTGGCAGAATCCTTGCGAGGCGGTAGTTCTCTCAACCGCACTAGAGCATTCAGTTTCGACCACGCCAACGCTCTCGCAGAGGAGCAGGAAGCTGCTAAGTATGAGGACCTTGACTTCGCATGCACGATTTTGGTTCTTGGAAAGACTGGGGTTGGAAAGAGTGCGACTATCAACTCTATTTTTGATGAGTGCAAGACTGTGACTAGTGCCTACTATCCGTCTACCACTAAAGTCCATGAAGTTAGTGGAACTGTGCTCGGCGTCAAGGTATGAACTTAGTTTGTTACTGTTCCGTTTGTCGATTCATTTCAGATGGCAAATTAGTTGTTTAGTTGTTATGATCCAACCTGGAGGAAAATTTACGCTGAATTACTTTATTGGGCTCAGGTGAGGTTTATAGACACACCTGGGCTTCTCCCTTCTACGGCTGACCAACGGCACAATAAGAACATTATGAGACAAGTGAAAAAGTACATCAAAAAAGTTTCTCCAGACATAGTTTTGTACTTCGATCGTATGGACATGCAAACTCGAGACTCTGGAGACGTGCCTTTGCTGCGGACCATCACCGACGTGTTTGGAGCCGCTGTGTGGTTCAATGCTACAGTGGTGTTGACCCACGCGTCTAAGGCCCCTCCAGATGGATCAAATGGGACTCCCATGAGTTATGACTATTTTGTAGCACAACGGTCACATTTTGTGCAACAGACAATTCGTCAAGCAGCTGGAGACGCAAGGCTTCAGAATCCGGTGTCGTTGGTGGAGAACCACCCTGCTTGCAGAATCAACCGAAGTGGGCAGAGAGTCTTACCCAATGGACAGCCATGGAAGCAACAATTGTTGTTGCTATGTTTTGCCTCAAAGATATTGGCAGAAGCGAACACGTTGTTGAAGCTTCAGGAAGCATCAACTCCTGGAAAGCCATTTGGACAGCGGTCTCGGGTGCCACCTTTGCCATATTTGCTTTCGTCTTTGCTTCAATCTCGAGCTCAGTTGAAGATGCCAGATGAGCAACATGGGGAGTCCGAAGACTCTGATGACGACTCTGATGAGGAGGATGAGGAGGAAGGCGATGAATATGATGATCTTCCACCATTTAGGTACAACTCACTTTTAGTGGGCAATCATCTAGTGTCAACCTTCATCTTTTTTTATTTAATTTACTATTTCTTAACCAAAATTGTGTGTGTGTGTGTGTGGAGGTTTTATCAGTTCAAAAAGTTGATTCCTTACTTATGAGTTGTGTCCTGTTTTAGGCCGCTTTCGAAGCAAGAGCTGGAGGACCTTAGTAAGGAGCAGAGGCAGGAATATGCAGAAGAACTTGCTGATCGTGAAAGGTTATTTCAAAAGAAGCAATATAGAGAGCAAATCCGAAGAAGAAGAGAACGAAAAAAGCAAGCGTCTGTGATGAGCAAGGAAGAGCCATCCATACCTGGTGATGGAGCAGAAGATGAGTCAGGGCAACCTGCTACTGTGGCTGTTCCGATGCCAGACATGGCGTTGCCTCCTTCATTTGACTCTGACAATCCCACACATAGGTAACTTCACAGCACCGCACATGGCTCAAGCTGATCATTTTCAATCGGAAAGTTGGAAAACGATCCCCTGACTCAAACTTGATATCGTTTTGATCCCTTTGGAGTTACCCGTGTGCAGGTATCGTTACCTGGAGACTGCGAACCAGTGGCTAGTACGTCCGGTATTGGAGACCCATGGGTGGGACCACGATGCTGGGTACGACGGTTTCAACGTGGAGAAAATGTTCGTGGTGAAGGAGAAGATTCCTGCTTCCGTGTCGGGCCAGGTGACGAAAGACAAGAAAGAAGCCCAGGTGAACTTCGAAGCAGCGGCTTCGTTGAGGCACGGAGAGGGGAAGGTGACTCTGACTGGGTTCGACGTTCAGACGATCGGAAAGGACTTGGCGTACACGGTGCGGGCAGAGACGCGGTTCAACAATTTCAAGAGGAACAAGACGACGGCGGGGGTGACTGCGACGTACCTGAACGACACGATCGCGGCGGGAGTGAAGCTGGAGGACAGGGTATTGATAGGGAAGAGGGTGAAGTTGGTGGTGAACGGAGGGGTGCTGACAGGAAAGGGCGACAAAGCATACGGTGGAAGCCTGGAGGCGACGTTGAGAGGGAAGGAGTATCCTTTGAGTCGGACGCTGTCGACGCTGGGGTTGTCAGTGATGGACTGGCACGGCGACCTGGCGATCGGGGGGAACCTGCAGTCGCAGTTCATGGTGGGGAAGACGATGATGGTGGGAAGGGCGAACTTGAACAATAGGGGGTCGGGTCAAGTGAGCATACGGGCGAGCAGCTCGGAGCAGCTGCAGATGGTGTTGATTGGGATTGTTCCGATATTGAGGTCTCTAATCAACTGCCGTTTCGGCTTCGGTGGTCAGCCCCAACAGTAGTTTCATAGTATAGCATCGATATTGTGTAGTCAATCCTTATCTTTAGTCTGAGCTGAGCGTGAGAGACTTGAAGTGGCAGCATTCTACATATCGTTTTTGACAGAGAGCGCTTAGAAATGGCGGATTTTCGCTGCCTTCACGCACGCAACTTGAGAGACCTAAAGATGGTCGCAGGAATTAGTTCTAGTCACTTGGTTCCTTAGTTTGACTAGCAATGAGCCTGAATTGGGACATGCAGGTAATCATCCACTGTCGTAGGGAGTTCATCACCAGTGTGTTTGTGGGCTTTTTTTCGCTCTTCTTTTTGTAATTTACTGGGCTGAATCTGGAGATATATGTGTGTTGGTAGAAGCTAGTCTTTTGTTCCAACACAGTGGGTCGCCACGGGTTTCATCTCACTGGAGTTCTACTAGAGAAAATGTTCCCTTTGATCTGGTATGATGATCTTTGTAATCATTGTGATGGCCAGTTGCCCATTCCGAGCCTGCGAATTCAATGCAGTGCAGTACCTGCATTGAATTTGTCTTTCAGATTTGAAAACTCAGATCATTCCCACGGAGCTGTGACCAATGGAGGTGATTGCAGGGAGATGGTAGCTGTGTGATTATTTAACACTTTGCTTTGCGAAGTGGAACATTGGTCGAGAATGAGTCCAGTAGGAAGAGTGGCTTGAACGTGAACTTTGTATTGCATGAACTTTTGATATCTTTTATTGCATGCCATTATTGTGTAAAGATTTTGACAGAAGGATTCAGGGAAGAGATTTTCCAACACGAATGTATTTCTTATCCCCAGAAACGAAGTTTGCCTATTTGCTGGCATTGGAACTGTCAGCGAGATCCTCTTTTGCTCCCCCCAAAGTCACCTTCAAAATCTCAAGTGCGATAGGAGAAATGTGATGTTTTGAACTTACGTGAAAACTGTGCCTCCAAATCAAACAACATGACAGTCATTTAAGGACTATTTGATCTCCAAAAGCAACAAGCTGTCTACTTGAGATGTTGATCATCTAACATGTACTTTTTTTACATTAAATCTAAAAATAAAAAATGGGTTCTCATTCAGAAGAAAAAAGAAAAATGATGCTTACCACATAATTAATTTTAAAAATTATTTTGCAATGTCTAATTTTATATCAATTTGCACCTGGAACTTTGTGTAACTTTTTATGAGCAGATATGATTTTATGTTCTACTTTAGAATTTAATTGTTCTGCAAACAATGGTTTGATAGATGCTGTGAAATGTATATAATTTTTGTGAATATGAATCTTTTTACTTTTATTTTTTTTTATAAACTAATACAAAAAATAAATTATATATTAGAATCTATTGTTGTTTAATTTAAAACAATAAAGCAAAGAAATATTATTACATAATTGCTTATGGCAATAAAGATATGGTTAAAGTAGTAATTGTGGCTACCCATACAAATGTTTTGCTTGAAGATGTTTGGTGCCATTGAACTTTATTGGATTGCTTTGGCATGCTTTGTAAGTTTTGTGGCACACTTGAAACAACATTTCTAACAATTGCAACAATAGAAACAATTTTTTTGTTAATATGATTTGCTTAGACTAATTTTTGTAGTATTTTAATAAATCTCTTCTTAAGAGTATCTTACAATGCAAGGAATATGATAATATTTTAGCTACAATTAATGAAAATGGTCTAAAAGCTTCAAGTGCTTGAAAATATTATTTTAATTTAGATCTTGTATTATTTTTTTTCAATAAAAATACATAGAAGTAATATTATATCTTATATTTGGTATTTTTTATAAAAATTAAATTTACATAAAATTTAATATATCATATATTTAACAATTATACATAATATTGTTTTTTCATATATACCCCTCAAATATCCTAAAATATCAAGAATACCCCTACATTCTTGATATGTCAGGATATTTGAGTAATATATATATATATATATATATATATATGATTTTTTCTCTTAATAAATTGAATATTTTGATAATCAGTCAAAATCGTGTAAACATAAATTTGAAACACATGTTTTTAATAACTTATACAAAAAATAAGCTAAAGCTACATCTATCAAAGCTGATTTAATATTGATGATATTTAAAAATTATGAATTTTGTTACTTATGTGGAAAATGGATACGAAGTATGGGTTTTCAATGATATTTCAATGTGTTCCAATAATGGATTAAAGTATGGATTAAAGTATGGATTAAAGTATAGAATATGATAAATGTTTTGCAAATGTAAGATTTTTTTGGCTCATGTGCTTCGCAATCAACAATTGTGAAACCTCTATGGATTGTTTTAAGTGCATTCTACCCAATCTACATGATGACCTCTACATTGTTTTTTAGAATGTTGGCCTCTACATTTTTTTTGAAATAATAAAACAAGTTTTTCAATTATAGAATGCAAGTGCATGAAGAAACCTGTTATATTCATCAAAAAATATGCCTTGAAGAGAGGCAATAATTAGGACAATGAGTCTCCTTGTGTAGTGGTGCATTATACTTTAACACTTTGTGTCCCCTCCAATAACTTTGTGGTTGCAGTCTTTTGCATAAGCATCTTGTTGGAACATGAAAACAAAAATAGATTGTAAATGCACCAAGATCCTTGAATGCGATTGCTTTTTAAAAAAAGAATGCATGAGAAGAAGAAGAAAAATAAAGATATATATATATATATATATATATATAATAAAGATATATATATATATATATATATATTTCAGTTTTTTTTCCCTTTCAAATACTTGCTTGCAACTTCTACTATATTAATTCTAAAACCTATACCTTGCATGCATGACTTAAATTCAATCGCAAGTCAAACTCAACAACTCATAAAAGATGCAAAATTTCTTACTATAAAAATGGTGGGTATCATTCAAATGATTAGTTGAAACATGTGAAGAATGTGATGCAGCATAGAAATAGAGAAAAAAACATTCCTTCCATTCTGACTGCAAATAGTAGAACGACACAGCCCGAACACCCGCTCTGTGAACAGGGCCTTCTCCATGCCTCCTCCTATTTGGTCACCAGTTCGAATCTCCATTCCCTTCCGCCAAGGACAAGATTATGATCGGAGTGAGCGTCTTGTGCTGTGGGCTCAAACTTGTCAAGCTTTGGTAGTTGCCGATATTGTGGGCTGTGATTGAAGGTGTGCTCCACTTTCCCATTTCGTCACATACCGTATAAATTTTATATCTTGTTATTTGGAGAATCAACGCAAGCGCTTCCCTTTCGACCTCATAATTTTGATTTATGAAGTGACAGATAGAGTGATCAGAAATCATGGGATATCACTGGTAAGTCAGCCACCTCAATTGTTGCCTCACCTACACCTGCCTCGGCAATGCCACTGGACATAACTGCTTCAGTCGAGAGCTCTATTTCAGTGGAAAACTCGCTGGGTGGTATGATCAGTAGGCAAGATAATGCTCCAGAAAATATTTGTTTGTAAAATGGAGACTCTTGTGACAAGATCGTGTCAATATGGTGACAGGATCTGGTGAGATGTGCCGATGCGCAGCCGGTTTGACCCCTTCATCACCTGCAGCAGTTTTGTATAGAGAATGCCTAATTTCGAGGTCTTCGTTCCGCTCTGCACCGACGAATTTCCACACAAATCTGCTTCAAAATTTGCTATATACTGCTTCGATGCTGACGGAGATTTCACAGCATTGCGAGAATTTAACGATCCAAATAAAGATGTCAGGTTGAAAAATTACATGTTCTTTAGACGAAATTCAAGCCAGAAACTTTACGATGGCTAGAGATTTGGCACACCGGAGAAACTGTAAGCAATTTGGCTGCCAGAGACGGGGAAACAACATCGACAGGAGTGGACTTTTTGTCGTTCTCAGAAACATAATTAGGCAACAATTGCAAGTGCAATCCTAGGTGTGTTTGCCTCTCATTAGGTCGAAGAAGGGTTGCTCGGGAACTACCTGATCCTCACATCCAAGATTGCTTCAGACACTATGTGTCTATCGGGAACGATGCCATCCACAAACAGACATTTGACGAGTATGGATTCCGCGTCAAGAGGTTCAAAGAAGCTATCACAAGTTATGGAAGTTCTAAAAGTCGACTTAGATGTCAAGGTACCTGGTGCAACTCTCCCCTAGGACTGATGCAAATCACGTTCTTATACAGTAGGAGCAGCTCGGCTAGCTACTCCAGATACACAATGTTTTCCCCATAAATGTTCTCGACCTGATTCCATGTTGTTGCGACTGGTTGCGTGGAGTCTGGTTACATGGGACAGTGCAGCCAACAGAGGTATCGGTAAAAATTCTGAGACCTGATACTGCGGAAGAAGGTGTTATTCCTTGACTGCCACTTAATGGTGAAGCAGACCTTGCGACTCTAGCGCAGGTATGTATCAGTATACTAGCCAACTATGGGAAGCCGCAGAGGGCTGATAATTTCACAGACAGCCAGGGCAGAATCACAGCAATCAATATGGCATTACGCAATTTATTTCATGAACAACAAGCATAGCCATGGGGTTCTTCCTTTAACGGTCTCACATTTGCGATCAGCAATGTTATAACAACACCAGTTCTGATTTCGTTACATCCCAGGTTTCCTCTTGGAGGTAATCAGAATGAACGCCCACATACAGGCATTCCGACATCAGTACATTTTGTTTACTGGGAAATGCGATCTGTAAACTGTTGATGCGGACATGTGACTACTTACGTCTATACTCATTGAAATGACCTGGACGAAGATGGCACACATAAGTGAAAAAATTGCTTTCTACCGGAGAACTCCACTGCATTCTTTCAGAACAGTTCCTATGGAAACGAGTGCGAGTGCGAGTGGTCCATGTTGTGGGCCGCTAGACATTGAGTTGCTGGGGGTAGGCAAATAGTTGTAGGAACGAGGGGAATCAGGACCCAAGATTTCTGTGTTTGCGAGGCGTGAAGTTGGAGAGCGTCCATGTAGAGTCTACCCATCAGGTTGTCGGTCTTTGTTCACTTGAGCATTAGATTTCCTCCATCGACTGGAGAATCAGGCTCCTTCATCCATTGCGATTTCTTTGCCGAGCCTTCAGAACTGGTGGATGATGCTCTCGCTCCAGCCCTCTTCTTTCATCCGCTGAAACGCAGAATCCAGAGTCTAATCCTCTTTTGTTTCTAACTCAAACTTTTGTCGTGACTTGATATCCCTGCAGTTCCACTGACACAAGCTCGATGAAAACGGATCATGGTTTGACGAAGACTTCAGGTCTACAGACAAGATTTTGCAGTGTAATTCTTTCATGTTTCCTCTGTTGATAGGGACTTACTCCACCGCCGTGTGAAGCCACTGCCCTCTTCAATGGTTTCCGGGGTTTCTGATGAAGCAATCGAAATCTATGTGCTTTTTAGCCGGTGCTCGTAGTCGCGTTAATTGGCACGCAATTGCAAACCTTGTAACGAACCTCTGTCTACTGTCTGATAAGGAATGTTGCGTGAAGTTAGGAAGCGAAGTTCAAATGAGTGGGATCAGTTTGTAGTAGGTGTGCTGCTTGGTGGTTGCTTGTTACTGCTCCTCTGGTGCCATTTGACTTGTGTGTCACAGCTTGTTGATACATTACTGTGAAAAGATTTTGTGAAGCAGAGCTCGATAATGACAAGTGGCACCACACGTCGCGTACTTATCTTGCACATCATATTTCAAGCAAAGAGGAAAACACACGAAGCATGCATACCAATTATGAATACTTGGTGCCTGTGTGAGGGTGAGCAACTGAGAGAGTTGTGAACTGGAACTATCTTGAAAAAATTTGCTTCGCCATGTTTGTTTTCAGCTAAAGTGATTGATTTTGTATCAGTATTCTGTAAAATCCACAGTCGATTCCCGTTCTCGCCGCTAGCTCTGGTTTTCATAAACTTAAGACTTATTGGGTCAGTGAATCAAATTCGACTGTGCCGCTAACTTATGAGTTCTGTCAGCATCTCTCTGTGGGTTAGTGTGATCAAGACTAATTACTATCCGCTCTTGCACTGATCATTTTTGGTTGCTAAATTACCAGGGTAGTCCTCAATTGTCAAAGGAGTACATGAGGAAGCAAAAAAAAACAAATACAAACTTGTGGAACTTTTGCAGATCAAGCCTCAAGTTTCCAATAATGCAATCTCGCCTGCCACCCAATTTTGAAAGAGGAGAAACCTTCATGCTTTGCGGAAGCGTGGCATGCTTGTAATCAAATCCGGCGGTACCCTGATGTACAAGGTACAGTAAGAAATAGAGAGTAGACTTCCGTGCTTCTGCAGATCCAGTACATTATATTTTATATAGCGATGTTGAGTAAAGTGGTTACCATAGATTGCCCTGCACATGTTTCCTTCCGACAATAGAAAATAATAAATAAAAGTAGAGTCCTAGATATCTTACAGTTATGAACAGTTCAAATTCAAGTTATACCCAGACATTTTGCAGACGTTGGGAAGAAAATTAGCGCCATCGCTTGGAACCTCTAAAGGAAGATGCTCTCTGGCACTAGTTATTCTTTGATTAGAGCGTTGTGGTAGACTTTATTTATTTGAACTAAGGTGGTGATTCATTGTGGGCTGAGAATTCTTTATAGCTCGGCCTGTCTCGTACTGTACTATTCCGTAATGCATCTTGTACAGCAAAACTTTCTTCAATCTACTGTAAATTTTATGTTTATTTATGGTAGGTGCCTCTGCAAAAACAATTACTAAGAATTCTAAGCACAATGACCACCCAATTCAACGGGAGGAAGAAACTGAGAATGTGGGAACTGACACGGGATTGTCTCGTGCCAAGAGACATCTGACGAAGTTGACGCTCTCTCCCAGTCCAGCACGCCACTTGCCTTTGCCTTCAAACTTCGAGGACCAGATTCTGTATCTCAGAGTAGACCTTGAAATGCTTGTGCATCTCCAGGTTGCATTAGAGAAGGGTGCACACGCAATTCATAAGATCGTGACTGACCGGAAAATTCGGCCTCAGGACCTACTCGGGTTCCCAAAAAGAACTGAAACAAAAAAATTAATTAAAAATAAGAAAACTCGGATTTTTTAAGAAAAATAAAATACATAGGAACACAGAAAGGTATACCAATGCAACATAATAATATACGCCAAATTTTAGTCCTAAAGATGTCGATTCTGGTAAGGGTACTTCGTTTCTTTTTCTTTTTCTTTTTCATCCTACCAAGTTTTCATGGTTTTCTGTTTACAAGAATTTGGGAGCTGAGCACGAGACCATCGGCAACGTCCACAACGCCGAAGCTGCAGACCTCCAACCTCGTCACCTGCCATTCTACAAAGCAGAAAATCAAACAAGACAAAAAAAAAAATTAAAATTAAAATTAAAATACAACACTAGGAAGGAGCGAAGCAAGGGGACCCAGAGAAGGCAGGCAGGCATGGAATCAAGCGAGCGAGCAGCGGGCACCGACAGGTGACACCTGGTGGATGGCTGGCTGCTCAGCTGAGCAGAGCGGGTCAGGAAGGAAGGAAAGGGGAAGGACAAGGAGATGCATGCTTCCTGCTGGGAGTCACACACGCATTCCCTTAAACCAAGGGAGAGGAGACGGCAGGGACACCCCTCCCGAGGCTGTACTTTACCACCACACGCAACACTCTATCACAATATTCATTTCAAAAGGGAGTATGGGGAGTGCACAATGACGCTCCAGAGCACCTTGTCTCGAAGAGGAGGTACACTTCGAGAGAAACTGCACTGCATGCATCACTGCTCCTAGCTGAATTGTTGTTCAATCACAAATGAAGTGAGGGAGTAAATATTACCCGATCTAATCCTTACTGTCGTTAGCGGTCATCATGGCAAAAGGATCACAGTGGTGGAATAGTTCTGTACGTTAGGGCTTTTACTTGAATGTGATTAGGGTTCTTAGTGTGATTAGGGTTTTTACTCGAGTGTGTGTCATCTAACTCCACAACTGCCGCGCTGTGAGGACAAGCGGTCAGCCCGCACGATGTCGACGTACTCAGAAGTATTAAAGACGAAACTGGCTCACGCCCCATTGGCCCCTATTGTCTCCGAGGAGGTTCGGATAGTGGAACATTTGTAGAAGGCGGATATAGTGGAGTCGGAGTTGATCACAGCCACAACAAACATGGAGAAATTTGTAGCGATCAATCCGACTTGAGCTTCACCAGGTGAAAAATTACCATTTGGGTTAGGTAGGAGTTGCACTGGCTTTCTTTCAAACTCTCAAGTAGTAGAGGTAAAGCTGGACGAAGATTAAATTAAAAAGAAAATGGATTTCCTTCAACAGTGTATTGTAATCACGTACTTCGTGGGAGGAAGACCCATGGCCAAAGCCCTACAGGCCTGGCTAGGTCACTTGAAATCTGAAGTAAGTGAGGACCTTCAACTGGGCCGTGACATATGTCACAACTTCTTTCATGCAGTATGTAATGATGAAGTAGCATTACAAAAGTTATTTATGAGAACACCGCACCACTCCTAGTGCGGGACTTCTTGATTTAATTCAAGTTGCTCAGTTGGCATTTACTTAGGTAACATTAAAAGCCATCCCAAACAAATTGATTAGTAGTGGAAGAAAACTTGCATTATGACTTGGACTGATGCTCAAGCAAGATCAAAACAATAAAACTAGGGTTGATTAAAGATTTTGTATTGTTCTTAGAAATGGAAGTCCATACATATTTACAATTAGAGCATTCAATTTGGTAAGTGGGAAGACAACAAAGGTGCAAGTGGATTATAATAATCTACTTATTTGATGTAAATATTACTTATCAACTTCGTATCTAATATGGGATTGTTCCTCACTACCAAGGCATTGCCAAAATGGTAATATAGCAGAACAGTCATACAAAGTAACAACCTTGAATCAATCTACTCCAAAAGATATTGTGCCAGCAGTAGCACGAGGATCTTACCTGGTCCTTGCCAATTCAAAGAATCCTTGTCTTTTTGTTATACAAGAGACCACTTCTTTCCTAGCTCAAACCCTAACATTTTGATCCATTGTAAGTCTACCAAGGTAGAGCATAGAGGAGGCATAAAGAAATCATAATCAAATCAATATTTAATAGACCATATTGATAGCAACAATCTGCAGTTAAAAAGCTTAAGTTAGGGTACTTGGATAAATAGAGTATAAGAACAAGGTCATAAATCCTCTCTAAATATCTCAGAGTTCTTTGATTTAAATAAATTTATTGAAGCCCAAATGATTGGACTAATAGAACCTTGAAAAAAACCTTCAAATGTGAGACAATGTAGAAGGAACAAGCAAGAGGTAGCAACTAGGCAAACTTGGATTGTTGTGACCTAAAGTAAACCTCTATTAGTTGGAACTTTTTTCTAGTTCATAATAAGTGAATTAACCACATAAAATTTAGGATTTTTAGCTATTATTTAATTCAACTAAATTTATTCTTAAAGATCCTTTAAATAATCTAAATAATTAAAAAAATATCTATTATTAACTCATACTTAAAATAATAAACCTCTCAATAAATTTATGCCACAGACAATTCTTTCTTTTAGTTATTTTTCTTTATTTTCTTTATTTTTTATTTTCTATTTTTTAATTAATTTAATCAAAATTCATCTATTAGCAAAAAAATCATCTATAAATAATAATTTATTCTTGAATAATCTTTTATCTTTAAAATCCATCCAAATTTTAATCTAACTTCATTGAAGTTTGACCTAATTCACCAAATAAATTCATTCAAATCTAATTTTATTCTAATGGTAAAATTCAATGAAATCACCTTGTAAAATCTACCAAATTGTTGATATTGACAAATAAAGAAGGTGCTAGAAGTGGCGAGATTGAGCTCTAGATCTCTCCTGAGCTCTTTTATTTCATATCATTATCGAAACATTTAAGGTCTAAGAGAGCTTAGTGGATTCACCTTTGAAGAATGTCCATGGATGGCTTACCATTTCTAAATATCTATGTCTTACATACTGCACAAGAGTGGTGCATATGACAAGCAAAGCTTATTGAGACACTCTTTGATGACAATCGATAGATTCTCACTAAAAATTAGGATTTTGTCAAAAAAATAATAACAAGTCCAATGCAATATGGGTAGTCCTTGGAGGCAATAAATAGAGATTGTTTTATGCATTCACAAATAAGCTTCAAATAGTTGATAACTTCCCTATATTGCACTTGTTTAAGTTTAGTTGAGACAATAGTCTACTAAATAGTAACTTTGCAATGACATAACTTGATGGCACCTATTCATTCACAATGCCAAGAGAAATTATCAGAAGATCTAATTATTTGATCTTAGGTAATAATGCACACTCTAATTACTTTGCAATATAGAAATAAGTCAATTTGAAGTCAAGACCATACTCAAAGTCATTCTACATCACAAATGCATAATTCCTTCAAATTGAAGAAGTTCAATAACACATCCAACAAATTTGAGGTACCTTTCTATGTCTCTCCTTCTTTGAAATGCTATGGAGATATGTATAATTTTACAAGGCCTATTGTGTTTATAGAGCAACAAAATATAGATAAACAAAAGACCAACTATAACAAGACTTGGTCGTAGTAGCAGATGCCCTATAATTAAATTTAAGAGATGCTTAAGGCCAATTGCAACTAGCCTTGTATGTTGATTACTTAAAGTAGATAGAAGCCATGAAGGTTGCACAATAAGTATTAAGCACCTAACTAAAATAGAAATCAGTTGAAAATCATTGTACTTCAAAAAAAAAAAAAAATTGAGTCCATAAGGAGAAGGTTGCAATGCCTTATATTACAAAATTAGTAAATGAATAGGAATAACCTTATGGCGACTTAAAAGAAATAACTTATATTTTTTTAATTATTTTATAATAAGCTATATATAATACAACCAACTACTATTAAAACTAAAAATATTAGGTAATAGATTACAAGAAATGTAGGTAATAGATTGAATGAGGAGAAGGAATCTATCCTTATACAATCTTTTATACTAAGTGACCTTATGAGGGCATTGAATGCAATGCAACATAGAAAATATCCTAGACCCAAGAGGATCATATTAGAATTTTATTTAAAAAATTGTGATCTAATTAAGATATTAGGTATGTTTTAAGAAAGTATTAGGAGGAGATGCTTCCCTCTATGAGTAATACAAGGTCTAATAGCCTTATTGCATAAAAAATAGACTAAGACATGATCTTTTTAATTGGAGGCCAATTACTTTACTTAACATAGGCTACAAGATTTATGCTAAGGCATTATAATTCCGTCTTCAATTAATACTTATGCAAATTATTAGTGTGCAACAATCCGCCTTTCTTCCTTAGAGATTTATTCCTGACAACTTATTATTGATCCATGAAACTATAGTATGGGCACAAAAATCAAGTAAATTCTTTTTCTCTAAAATTGGGATTTCCTAAATTTTATAATATAGTTGAATGGAACTTCTTATTTATAATAATGAAGAAGATGGGCTTTCCTAAAAAGTTTAATCTCATGATTAGCCTATTATTTTTAAATGCATTAGTGAAAATAAAGGTCAACATGTCATTATCAAAATCATTTTCTATTGAGAGAGGAATAAGGCAAGGTTATCTATTAATTCTATATCTCTTCCTTGTGATTGCAGAAGCTATGAATTTCATGATTACTAATCAAGTTGAGCTAAGACCCATTAAAGGAATCCAACTTCCTACAAGGCGTAGGCAACAAATCATAGCTAAATATGTAGACACCTCCTTAACCTTATTTAGTGAGAAAAAAAAATATGGAACATATCATCTATATTTTGGATACATTTTGTCTTGGTTCTGGCTCAAATCAAGTGGCCATTGAAGATAAGATTCTTTACCTACTTAGCCTTCATGGATAAGCGACTTAGGAATATTTTGGACAAATGAGAAGATAGTGGGCAAATTGCTAAGAACATCTTTTGGTCTTTGTCTTAGATCTACAAATTTTGATACTTTTTTACAACAAAAAATAAATAAATAAATTAAATCAATGGAATTCATTCTTGATCAATGTAATAGAAAGCAAGGTGGTGATCAATAATATCTTATTTTCTATCAGATTTTTTTTATATTACTATGAGATGGCATTAAATAAAGCATCTCTAAGATCAAAGCTTCTCTCAAGAACTACCTTGCAAGAAGAACCACTTAACAAGCCTGCACAAAAGTTACATAGGCATAATGTTGTCAATCCATCTAAAAAAAGAGAATCAATCTCATTAATTCAAATGATGCCATAGTTGCATTAATAGTTAAATAGATTGTAAAGGCTATGGAACCAAGTGACTTTAATTTATATTTAATGCTATATTACTATTTTAGTCATTTTTAATCTTACTTAAGAAAGAATTAGCAACAAAGTTTGAAGTTCTTCACCATCTTAAAACATCACAATCAGAAGGGATCTATAGTATGGAATAGAATTGCAATAGCATAGAAATCCCTTCTTCCTTTCATTACTTACCTTCCCTTCAATCTGCTGTAATAAATAGCTCAACTATAGTATGTGGCATTATCCTAAAATTCCTTATATTGGCACAAGATTTTTTAAGGTTAGAGTAACACAACTTTATCACAATGAGTTGAAAAAATACAAGGATATGTACCATGATAGTAACTTTCTTAACTTTTTGGAAGTCCAAAATTGATTTGATTGTGAAAGAAAGGAAGAAGGTGCATGAAAGACTTTGATGATCTTTCTCCACCAATAATGGAGTCAATTCATGACAAGCCTTGTAGCAAAACTACAAAGAAGGAATTGGGTAGGGATCTACTCCAATAAAGACTCCAACTTATCTATAGTAGTATGTACACATTGATGCAATTGAGGAAGTCACTCTAAATTTTAGAGAATATTAAATATTCTCTACTATCAAAAATATATAAGATAGATGGCTTAACAAACTCTCTAATCAAAATTTCCACAAAACACCAACTTACAAAAAATTAACAAATATGAAGGTAGGCTTAGAGTGCAATTTAGATCATTGGCATCATTTAAAGATCTCAAATCGCATTTGTATGACAAGGGACAAGTAAAAAAGATATCTTCTTGTATTATAGTTAGATTGACTATCTAGTGTAGAATCTTGGTTATTATCAATGGCTGGAAAAAGTCCTATTCAT